CCCTGATCTAGTGAGTCTTTTAAAACCAGCCACTTCGCACCAGTTAGGCTCGATTCAGGGTTACGACATCCAGAAACCACCTGTCATCCTGACCTTGAAGAATCAAATTTCCGTGAAGATGCCCAGGTGACTAAGCACGGCTCCTACCTGGCCAGGTTAAACCGGCCTGGCCTAACCTCTCTTTTAAATTTTTTAAATTTTTTAAAAAATTTCTAAATTTTAAATTTGTCTTATGAATTTGGGATGTTTTAAATTTCATTCTCTGGGCCAATTATTTAATTGTATTTTAATGGTTTTTTAACATTTGTATTATATGTATTTTATTTGGCTGTTCACCGCCCTGAGTCCTTCAGGAGTAGGGCGGTATACAAATTTAAATAATAATAATAATAATAATAATAATAATAATAATAATAATAATAAAATAATAATAATAAGTCAGAACTGGCATGTAGGTTTACCTGGCACTCTTATTTATATTCACACCATCATCATCATCATCATAAAAAAAAAAAAAAAGATGATAATCAGATTTATATTCCAAAAGTAGGTTATTTGCATCGTCCTGAAGCATTTCTCGAGTGGAGCCAGTGGATTGAGAATTTTCTACATCTAATTGCGTCTGTCTGACTTTGTTTCTATTCTGAAAATTGCTTCCGGATTTTGGGCTTGCAATGAAAAAACACAACAATGAATTTTGGATTTTTGGTTTTGTTAACGAGACGGGCTTCTTGGTATAGAAATGGCTTGTACATGCTGTTGCGTAAAAGCAAAGAAGTTGTGGTTGGGATGTTGTTCTCTTGTGCTAAAGAGAATCGGAGGTTTATGCCTTTTTTCCCCCTTCCCTCCCCCTCTTCTTAGTTTTCCACTACTTTTTACTTTATTTTTCTAAAATCAGAGAGACAGAGAAAGATGATAGATGGATGGGAAGGATAGATAGATAGATAGATAGATAGATAGATAGATAGATAGATAGATAGATAGATAGATAGATGATAGGTGACAGATGGACGGGTGGATAGGTAGGTAGTAGGTAGGTAGGTAGAATAGATAGATAGATAGATAGATAGATAGATAGATACCGATAGATAGATAGATGATAGGTGACAGATGGATGGATGGATAGGTAGGTAGGTACGTAGGTAGTTAGTTAGAAAGATAGATAGATAGATAGATAGATAGATAGATAGATAGATAGATACCGATAGATAGATAGATAGATAGATAGAAAGAGAAAGAAAAATAGATGATAGATTTTATGATGTTTGTGTATCTATATTTTTCTTGACTGTACACCGCCTTGAGTCCTACGGGAGAAAGGCGGTATAGAAATGAAATAGAAAATAAAATAAAATAAATAAAATAAAATAAATAGAAATAAATAAATAAATAAATAAATAAATAAATAAATAAATAAATAAATAAATAAATAAATAAATAAATGCAGGTTCGAACCTTACCAGGCTCAAGGTTGACTCAGCCTTCCATCCTTTCTAAGGTAGGTAAATTGAGGACCCAGTTTGTGGGGGCAATAAGATGACTTTGTATAAATATACAAAAAGATGAAGGCTATTGCTTAATGCACTGTAAGCCGCCCTGAGTCTCCGGAGAAGGGCGGCATGATAAATCAAATAAAAAAAAAAACATTGGAAAAAAGGAGGAAATTCCTACATTATGAAAAATATAATTTAAAAACGTATTAGATTGTGAGAAAATGGATGGGCTAACATTAAAAGATAAAGACAAAGAAGACACGGAATATTATTTTTTTTTAACATGGATTAGTTCTTTCTTTTTTTTTTTAAATTTGATTTATATGCTGCCCTTCTCCGGAGACTCAGGGCGGCTTACAATGCGTTAAGCAATAGCCTTCATACTTTTGTATATTTTTATACAAAGTCATTTTATTGCCTCCACAATCTGGGTCCTCATTTAACCCACCTTAGAAAGGATGGAAGGCTGAGTCAACCTTGAGCCTGGTAAGATTCGAACCTGCAGAAATTGCTGGCAGCTGTGTTAATAACAGGGTGCATTAAACCACTGTACTACCAAGGCTCTTTGGTAGTTTTGCCAACGGTTCGGCAACGAAGGTAGAAATAAGAAGTTGGAAGAATGCTACTTTCAATGAGTAAACGTTGTTACCATTACTGATATTATGTATAAGTAAATTGACCCAGACAATGCACTGTATAATTAAGCACTTAACGTAAGTTAAAAGAAAAATGTACAAATAACATTTATTTTTTAAAAAAAAGAGAGAGAGATGTTTGTGCAATTCGGAGCAAAATTGAGAAAACTAGGCTGGGTCAAAGGCTTGTTGGTGCTGGGAAACATTTTTGTGGATTTTTGTTTGATCTAGTGCAGGGGTCGGCAACCTTAAGCACTTAAAGAGTCACAAAGGTCCTAACCAGAAGCCCCCCCCCTTCAATTCTAGAGCTGACCGGAAATCCGGTTTCCCCACCATAGAGTCTCCTCCTAGCACAGAATCCTTTTTCTCAATTGCGGAGCCGACCGGTGACAAGGAGTCGCAGAAGAGGGATGAAAGAGCCACATGCGGCTCCAGAGCCGCAGGTTGCCGACCCCTGATCTAGTGAGTCTTTTAAAACCAGCCACTTCGCACCAGTTAGGCTCGATTCAGGGTTACGACATCCAGAAACCACCTGTCATCCTGACTTGAAGAATCAAATTTCCGTGAAGATGCCCAGGTGACTAAGCACGGCTCCTACCTGGCCAGGTTAAACCGGCCTGGCCTAACCTCTCTTTTAAATTTTTTAAATTTTTAAAAAATTTCTAAATTTTAAATTTGTCTTATGAATTTGGGATGTTTTAAATTTCATTCTCTGGGCCAATTATTTAATTGTATTTTAATGGTTTTTTAACATTTGTATATTATATGTATTTTATTTGGCTGTTCACCGCCCTGAGTCCTTCAGGAGTAGGGCGGTATACAAATTTAAATAATAATAATAATAATAATAATAATAATAATAATAATAATAATAATAATAATAATAATAATAGTCAGAACTGGCATGTAGGTTTACCTGGCACTCTTATTTATATTCACACCATCATCATCATCATCATAAAAAAAAAAAAAAGATGATAATCAGATTTATATTCCAAAAGTAGGTTATTTGCATCGTCCTGAAGCATTTCTCGAGTGGAGCCAGTGGATTGAGAATTTTCTACACCTAATTGCGTCTGTCTGACTTTGTTTCTATTCTGAAAATTGCTTCCGGATTTTGGGCTTGCAATGAAAAAACACAACAATGAATTTTGGATTTTTGGTTTTGTTAACGAGACGGGCTTCTTGGTACAGAAATGGCTTGTACATGCTGTTGCGTAAAAGCAAAGAAGTTGTGGTTGGGATGTTGTTCTCTTGTGCTAAAGAGAATCGGAGGTTTATGCCTTTTTTCCCCCTTCCCTCCCCCCTCTTCTTAGTTTTCCACTACTTTTTACTTTATTTTTCTAAAATCAGAGAGACAGAGAAAGATGATAGATGGATGGGAAGGATAGATAGATAGATAGATAGATAGATAGATAGATAGATAGATAGATAGAAAGAAAAAATAGATGATAGAAAATAGATAGAAAGAAAAATAGATGATAAATAGATAAAAATAGATGATAGAAAGAAAAAATAGGTAGATGATGAATAGATATCTAGATAGACAGATAGATAGATAACAGATGATAGATAGAAAGAAAAATAGATGATAGAAAATAGATAGAAAGAAAAATAGATGATAAATAGATAAAAAATAGATGATAGAAAGAAAAAATAGGTAGATGATGATAGATATCTAGATAGACAGATAGATAGATAACAGATGATAGATAGAAAGAAAAATAGATGATAGAAAATAGATAGAAAGAAAAATAGATGATAGATAAAAAATAGATGATAGAAAGAAAAAATAGGTAGATGATGAATAGATATCTAGATAGACAGATAGATAGATAACAGATGATAGATAGAAAGAAAAATAGATGATAGAAAATAGATAGAAAGAAAAATAGATGATAGATAAAAAATAGATGATAGAAAGAAAAAATAGGTAGATATGAATAGATATCTAGATAGACAGATAGATAGATAATAGATGATAGAAAGAAAAACAGATGATAGATAGAAAATAGAAAGAAAAATAGATAGATGATAGAAAAATAGATGATAGATAGATAGGTAGGTAGGTAGGTAGGTTACGTAGGTAGACAGACAGACAGAGAGACAGACAGATGGATGAGAGGGAGAGATGATAGAGATAGAATAGAGAGATAGAGATAGAGAGATGATAGATAGATGAGATAGATGATAGAGAGACAGATAGATAGATAGATGATAGATGATAGAGAAATGACAGATGGAGAGATGATAGATAGATAGATAGATAGATAGATAGATAGATAGATAGATAGATAGATATAAAGAGATGACAGATGGAGAGATGACAGATGGAGAGATGATAGATAGATAGATAGATAGATAGATAGATAGATAGATAGATAGATAGATAGATATAGAGAGATGACAGATGGAGAGATGATAGACAGACAGACAGACAGACAGACAGGGACAGACAGAGCTGGCTTATGGGGTTGGCTTCGCAGAAGGTGGGGGGATTTGCAGGGGCTGCTTGCTGCCTTTACACAAACCACCTTTTCCCAAATCAGGGTCTGATCTGCAGAGATGCCCCACTCGCGGGGGTGGGGGGGTTTAACAAGGGTGGGGTGTTTCAGACCCGGGTTGGGGTTCCCACACCCCAAACGCCCCAGCCAGGTCTGGTCTGACCTGAGCCTAGTTAACAGGTTGGGGAGAGGGGGGGGGCTTCCCATGTCCCCTTCAGACGACCCAGAAGTGCCTCTTCCCCCCTCGCCCCTCTTCTTCTCCTCCGTCCCATCCCCCAACCCCGACCAGCCTTTGGTTGCCCTTCCCAGGAAAACCCGGATTAAGACACACGACGCGGGTCCCCGGATCGTGCGAATGCGGCTCCTACCTGGTTCGATCACCCGAGTCGGGGGAGGCGGAGCTTCCGCGGGGAAAAGGCCGGCCTGGCCCCGCCGCGGCTTCTTCCAGGGATGCCCGGAGCCTCCGACCCGGCCGGGGCTTCTGCAGCTGCCGGGCCCGGCTCATTGCGAGACCCTCCTAACCGGCGGGGAGGAGCCGGCCCCGCTCGGCGTCTGCGTGTTGCCACCGCTGCCGTCCTCCCAACGACCTCTGCCGGGGGCTGGCCGCTTGCCTTCCCTCCCTCCCGGCAGCCCGCCCGCCCTGCTGCGCGCTCCCCGGGCTCGGCGGCAGAGCGGCCAGGGAGGAAAGAAGGGATGGGAGAAATAGAGGAGGGAGGGAGGAAGGAAGGGAGGGAGGGGAAAAATAGGGAAAGGAGGAAGGAGAGAAAGAAGAGAGAGGGAGGAAGGAAGAAAAGAAGGAAGGGGAAAAATAGGAGGGGAAGGGTGGGAAGGGAAGGAGGGAAGGAAGGAAAGAAAGAAAGAAAGAGAGAAATAGAGGAGGGAGGGGGGAGGGAAGGAAGAGGGAGAGAGAGGAAGGGAGGGAGGAAGGAAGGAAAGTAGGGGAAAAGAGGGAAGGGAGGAATCAGAGAAGGAAGATAGAGGGAAGGAAGGGAAGAAGGAAGGGAAGAAGGAAGGGAGGGAGGGAGGGAGGAAGGAAGGAAGGGGAAAAATAGGGAAGGGAGGAAGGAGAGAAGGAAGATAGAGGGAGGGAGGAGGGAAGAAAAGAAGGAAGGGGAAAAATAGGGGAGGAAGGGTGGGAAGGGAAGGAGGGAAGGAAGGAAAGAAAGAAAGAAAGGGAAAAATAAGGAAGGGAGGAAAGAGAGAAGGAAGAGAGAGGGAGGGAGGGAGAGAGGGAAGGAAGGAAGGAAGGAAAGGGAAAAATAGGGAAGGGAGGGTGGGAAGGAAGAGAGAGGGAGTGAGGGAGGAAGGGGAAAAATAGGGGAAGAAGGGTGGAAAGGAAAGGAGGGAAGGAAGGAAGGAAAGGGAAAAATAGGGAAGGGAGGAAGAGAAGGAAGAGAGAGGGAGTGAGGGAGGAAGGGGAAAAATAGGGGAGGAAGGGTGGAAAGGAAGGAAAGAAAGAAGGGGAAAAATCGGGAAGGGAGGAAGGAGAGGGAAGAGAGAGGGAGGGAGGGAAGGAAGGAAGGAAAGGGAAAAATAGAGAAGGGAGGATGGGAAGGAAAGGAGGGAAGGAAGGAAAGAAAGGGAAAAATAGGGGAGGGAAGGGAGGAAGGAGGGAGGGAAGGAAAGGAGGGAAGGAAAGAAAGGGAAAAACGGAAGGGAGGAAGGAGGGAAGGAAAGGAGGGAAGAGGGAAAAAGAGGGAAGGGAAGGAGGGAGGGAAGGAAAGAAAGGAGGGAAGGAAAGGGAAAAATAGGGAGGGGAGAGAAGGAAGGAAGGGAGGGTAAAAGGAAAAACGGAAGGAAGCAGAAATAGGGAAGGGAGGGAGGAGTATGGATGTAATGGAGGAAGGGACCCACGGAAGGAAAGAAGGAAGAAAACGAGGGGAGCAAAGAGAGAAATAAAGAGGCAGGCAGGCAGATCAACAAGAGTGCGGGAAGAAGACAGGAAGGTGAGAAAAAGGAAAGGACAGAAGGAATGAAAGAGAGAGAAAGGCAGGCAGGCAAAAGAAGGAGAGAAATAGAGAGGGAAGGAAGGAAGGGAGGAAGGGAGGGAGGAAAGGAAGAGGGAGACGGAATGAATGAATGAATAAAGGAATTAAAGAAGAAAGAGGAAGGAAGGAAGGAAGGAAGGAAGGAAGGAAGGAAGGAAGGAAGGAAGGAAGGAAGGAAGGAAGAAGGAAGGAAGGAAGGAGAGAGAGGCCAGCCAGGTTCAGCCATCGCTCGAAGATTTGCCTATCTGCGTGCATCCGCGAGGAAGGATCCGTGACCCTGGTTTTGCCCAGGAGACGTGCCAGGCAGGATGAGAGCGCCTGGGCTGCCTTGTTGACACGCGTCATTTAAGCCACGATCGACGTGTGAACGAGCGCCTTCAGTGAGCCATCGGTCTGCTGCCACCACCCCCCACCCCCACGCTGAGCCCGAGTGGCACAGCCCGAACCCACGTGTGGAAACACGCTGCTTTCTCTCTGATCGTCTCGGGACCAGCAACGTAAAGTCGGGTCCGGTGCTTGCAGGCACGGAGGGATGGGAGACCACGAGGAGAAGCCCTTTAAAATGGGATATGCCAAATTGAAAAAACGAGCATCCTAGCAGGTGCAGTCCACCCCTCCCTTTTCAAAAAAAAATAAATCTTATTTTATAAAATCTATTTTTTTTTACAAAAAGATGATGCACGGATAGCAGGGATTTCCCCTCTCGCCCCCCCCCCTTCGTTGGAGGGCTTCAGCCCCCCCCTAAAAAAAGGGGGGGATTAGCCATTCCCAGCACCCCAAACTCCTTACCTTGGCGGGTGATTCTCAGCAAGACACACGTGCAACTCTTGAGTAGCAAGAAACAAAAGGGAAGTGCGATACTTCCGCCAAATGTCCCAGTTCCCGCCAAATTAGTTTTAAAATAACTTTATTATTCTTTTCCCCAGCAGAGGGCGCCCCAAAGCCACGTTTCTTTGTGATGGTGGGGCGGGGGTCTCTATCACTGCAGGTTTTTAAGAAGAAATTGTCAATTGTCCGGATTGATCACACAGCATAGGGTAGGGGTCCTCCTGTGGACTTCAACTCCCAGAATCCCCCAGCCTTCAACTTTAAGACTTGTGGACTTCAACTCCCAGAATTCCCCAGCCTTCAACTTTAAGGCCTGTGGACTTCAGCTCCCAGAATACCCCAGCCTTCAACTTTAAGGCCTGTGGACTTCAACTCCCAGAATTCCCCAGCCTGCAACTTTAAGGCCTGTGGACTTCAACTCCCAGAATTCCCCAGCTGCCAACTTTAAGACTTGTGGACTTCAACTCCCAGAATTCCCCAGCCTGCAACTTTAAGGCCTTGTGGACTTCAACTCCCAGAATTCCCCAGCCTGCAACTTTAAGACCTGTGGACTTCAACTCCCAGAATTCCCCAGCCTTCAACTTTAAGACCTGTGGACTTCAACTCCCAGAATTCCCCAGCCTTTAAACTTTAAGGCCTGTGGACTTCAACTCCCAGAATTCCTCAGCCTTCTACTTTAAGACCTGTGGACTTCAACTCCCAGAATTCCCCAGCCTTCAACTTTAGACCTGTGGACTTCAACTCCCAGAATTCTCCAGCCTTCAACTTTAAGACCTGTGGACTTCAACTCCCAGAATTCCCCAGCCTATAACTTTAAGGCCTGTGGACTTCAACTCCCAGAATTCCCCAGCCTGTAACTTTACCTGTGGACTTCAACTCCCAGAATTCCCCAGCCTTCAACTTTAAGACTTGTGGACTTCAACTCCCAGAATTCCCCAGCCTTCAACTTTAAGGCCTGTGGACTTCAACTCCCAGAATTCCCCAGCCTGTAACTTTAAGGCCTGTGGACTTCAACTCCCAGAATTCCCCAGCCTGTAACTTTAAGACCTGTGGACTTCAACTCCCAGAATTCCCCAGCCTTCAACTTTAAGACCTGTGGACCTCAACTCCCAGAATTCCCCAGCCTTCAACTTTAAGACCTGTGGACTTCAACTCCCAGAATTCCCCAGCCTTCAACTTTAAGACATGTGGACGTCAACTCCCAAACCTGCTGAAACCCACCTCAGGGACCCCCTGCAGATTTAAAAAGCTACCGTTAATTTTAAAACAAACACGCACACACTTTAAAAGCTGCTTCTCCATGTTGTGTTTTCTTTTATTGCAAAAAAAGCTCACATCCAGACTCGGCAAAAAGGCGTCAAGGTTTTCAATAATACCACACACAAGAGCAGGCCACTTTTTATAAAAAAATACAATTTACAGGCGTTGTACTGTTTCGGTTCGTACAAAAGAGGCAAGCCAACTCCGTCCAGTTGCGTTGTGGGGTTGTCGTTTTTTTTTTTCCCCCTGCGCAGCCTTGTTTACAACAACAAGTCCCATTTTTGGACACGACATTCAGAGAAGGCGACCCTCGTAGAAAACTCTTTACCGATGGCAGCGTAATACTGAGAAGGATGTCACAATCGGAACGCGACAATTAAGGGAAGAGTAAGGTAGTGGGGGCTTTTGCGGAGTTGTGGGAAATGAAAGCAGAAAGTTTTGAGACCCCAAAGCCTCCAATTTCTGCTCCGGAGAGGAAGCTGGGAAACGTTTCCGAAGCTTGTCGCAAGCCATATTATTCAAAATTAAATTTTTAAACATGTACATCTAGAACGCAGCAGAATAGAAACATCAGTATTTATCCTGGACCACGGTTCTCGCAAATGTTTTTCCCCGTTTCTCGTGTAGCGCTGTTTACAGAACAACAAAACGCACCGAAGAAAGAGACAATTTTCAGAATATCATCTCCGCCATCTACCGCTGGGTATTTTTTTTTTTTTTTTTGGCAAGGGTCAGGCCCCAGCCAAAAGTGATGGAGTGATCCCCCTTGGCGTGGACCAAAAACGAGGGGCGTTCGGGCCTTCGTAAGATATGCTCGGAGGGACCAAAGGATTAGTAAATAAAATCTGAGTAACTCACATGGTGGTTATGTACACAGCAGATTCCACTGTCAAAGGAAATGTTTTGGTCACACCAAAACGGGGAGTGGGAAGATTTTTTTTTTTTGATATGAAATTGAAACAAGCGAACAAACCCAAAAAAACCCCAAAACCCTGAATTTTTGTTGGAAGCTATAGTTAAGAAAGAGGCCTCGTGTTCCTCATCAGTGGAACAACTTGCCACCAGAAGTTGTTCAATGCTCTAACACTGGAAGTTTTTTTTAAAGAAGGGATTGGATAACCGTTTGTCTGAAGTGGTGTAGGGTTTCCTGCCTTAAGCAGGGGTTGGACTAGAAGACCTCCAAAGGTCCCTTCCAACTCTGTTATTCTATTCTACCATGAATGACAAACTTGGGAATTTGGGAAAATGATCGACGGATCGATTTTATCCCAAAAGATCCCAAAAGATCCGTAAAAGAATCCTTGGGGACAGATTTAAGGCCTGGGTGAACAGAAGAAGGCCACATCCATATAATGTTCTTGGCAAGAATACAGAAGTGGATGTTTGACTGACTTCCCAGGTTGTGTCTGTGGCCCTAAAATTTCCTGGTGGTCTCCCATCCTGCATGATTTTTTTTTTTTTCCAAAATCCGCCATGTGAAACCAATTCAGGTCCCTTCGCACTGTTTCCAGTGCCTTAAGGTGGTGTTGTTTTTTCCTCTGTTGTGTTTAAAAAACAAGGAATTGCCAAGGCTTTTAGGAGCCACAGGAAGCCTTAGGAGCTCAGATTATATACCTCTGATTTAGAGGAACCTGCTAATACTTAAATAACCATCACAAAGCGAATTTAAAAAGAAAGAAAATTGGAATTGGAATTGGAAACAGGTACCCCAAACTTTGAACGGCAGTCTTTCTGTACAAACAGAAATATACTATGCAAGAACAGCAAGGCAATAAAATCCATTATTGCATCACCAGCCATTGGCCCTTACTATCGTAGGTATTCGTACCACCTACACATTCTTTACTCAAGGGAGCAGGGGCGAAAGATTAAGTGACCGGAAGAGGAAAAAATCCTCAAACAGTGCAAAGGTTTTGCTCCAACTTGGCATTAAATCGTGATTTAAGGAGCCGTTGCCTCTGGTATTTCTTAGTAAATTACATAGAGGTTTTACTCACTACGAGTGAATACGATAACATGTGTGAATCCACTTACAACAAGTCCTTTCCTTAGCTCTGAGTAACTAGTCTCACACCGAAATCTCAGAATCAAGATCTGTGGTTGTTCTTTTTTTTTTCTTTTCTTTTCTTTTCTTTCCTTTTTTTTTTTTTAATAAAAAAAAAGTTTTTTTCCTGCCGAAAACCCTCCAACGGAAACTGTTGGGTGCAGGGTTTTTTAAATCCGCAGGATACTTCTGGAGGGTTGGGGGAATTCTTGGTGGATGTAGCTTCTTAAAGATATGACAATATGCCATACGTGGAGAAAGTAAGTCACAGACTTATTTCAAAATGAAGAATCGTTTTCGCTTCCATCTAAAAGAAGGAGACAGAAAGGGGGGGAGAGAGAGAGAGATCAGTCAACGGATGGCAAACTCCCTTTCCAAGAGCTTCAAAACTCAAATCACATGCTTTCTGGTGCCTGCTCCCCACTTTAAGGACTAGAAACTTGTTTCTAAATCTGAGATGGGCTAATTCTCAGGATTTCTTTCCCAGCCAGCAGACTGGAATTCTGGGAGTTGAAATCCACAAAGATTTAAAACATGCTGGCTGGAGGAATTTGGGGAGTTTTTTTATTTAAGCTTTTTTGTTTGGATATGCTGCCAATGAATGCAGCCACTTCGGGCCCCAATTCTGTAAGGCCTCCCCATCCTCCTGCTGGGAAGGGGGACTCTCTGAAATTCCCTACTCCTGTCTATGGAGATTCTCACTCGTCCAGGTCCTGGTTGCTCTCAAGGTGCTTTCCAAATGGCAAGTGGACTTCCTAGGGTTTTTTTTCCCTTAGGAAACGTTTCGCTTCTCATCCTAGAAGCTTCTTCAGTTCTCTTGGATGAGAAGCAAAACATTCTCAAAGAAAAGAAAAGATGAAGAAAGAAAGAAAGAGAAAGGAAGGAAGGAAGGAAATAAAAAGAGGAAGGAAGGAAGGAAAGAGAAAAAAAGAAAGAAAAGAAAAGAAAAGGGAAGGAAAAGAGAAGGGAAGGAAAAAGGAAAGAAGAAAAGGAAAGGAAAGAAAAAAGGAGGGAAGAAAAAGAAAGGAAGGGAAGGAGAAAGGAAGGAAAGAGAAAAAAGGAAGGAAGGAAAGAAAGAAAGAAGGAAAGAAAAAGAAGGGAAGGGAAGGAAAAAGGAAGGAACGAAAGAAAGAAAATGGAAGAAAAAGAAGGAAATGAAGGAAGGAAAAAGGAAGGAAAGAGAAAAAAGGAAGGAAGGAAAGAAAAAAGGAAGGAAAGAAAGAAGGAAGGAAAAAGGAAGGAACAAAAGAAAGAAAGAAAATGGAAGAAAAAGAAGGAAATAAAGGAAGGAAAGAGGAAGGAAGAAAAGAAAGAAAAAAGGAAGGAAGGAAAGAAAAAAGGAGGGAAGAAAAAGGAAGGTGAGGAAGGAGAAAGGAAGGAAGGAAAGAAAGAAAAAAGGAAGGAAAGAAAGAAAGAGAGAAGGAAGGAAAAAGGAATGAACGAAAGAAAAAGAAAATGGAAGAAAAGGAAAGAAAGGAAGGAAAGAGGAAGGAAGGAACGAAAGAAAAAGAAAAAAGGGAAGAAAAAGGTAAAGAAAGGAAGGAAAAAGGAAGGAAAGAAAGAAAAAAGGAAGGAAAGAAAGAAAGAAGAAAAGGGAAGAAAAAGAAGGAAAGGAAGGAAGGAAAGAAAGAAAAAGGAAGGAAAGAAAGAAAGAAAAGGGAAGAAAAAGAAGGAAAGGAAGGAAGGAAAGAGAAAAAAGGAAGGAAAGAAAAGAAAAGGAGGGAAGAAAAAGGAAAGAAGGGAAGGAGAAAGGAAGGAAGGAAAGAAAGGAAAGAAAGGAGGAAAGAAGGGAAGGAGAAAGGAAGAAGAAAGAAAGAAAACTACAGCTGCCTTTTGAAAAAGCACCTTTGGGACCCCCCTCCCTACTCTTGCCCCCCTGACACCCTCCCCTCCGGTCCCCAAATCCGCTGCCTGTCCCCCCGGCACCCCTGGCTTACCTTCTTGGAAGCCTTTCGGCCTTTGGCTCTGGAGTTGATACAACTCATCTAACCCATCACAGGGAGAGTTTGAGGCACGTGTCTCAAAGGCTGTTTCGAAGGAGGTCAGGTCTTCCAAAAAACATGGCTGTTGTGGAGCCGAGTCCATCCTTGGCGAGGGAGCGAAGGCTCCTGGGCTACTATCTTCGGTGTCCAAGCCGATTGGACTACTGACGTCGCCACCGCAGAACTGGTGGCGAGGGCACCTCATCCCTGCCCCGCCTTTCTCGAACAGAAAGGGAGACAGGTCTTGTAGGAAGGTCTCAAGGGCGTTTTCTTCCAGGAGGTCATTGTCGTCCTCCAGGCAGGTCAAGAGAGAGAAGTCGATGCTCCTCCAGGTTTTGGGCAGTTGGAAATCCGGGCAAGGTTCGGGCACGGGAGACAGTTCAGGGCCGGGGCACGGTGGGACCTCTCGGAGAGCCCCGTGGCCGTCCTCGGCGAGTTCTTGGGAAGCGGTGGAGCCGAACGTCTCGGCCAGGCTACAGATCTGCTGAGCCAGCAGTTCGATTTCGTTCTTCTCCTTCTCGGAATACCGGAAGAAAGTCTGCTTGATGGGTGAGGCTTCCGGAGTCAAGATCCCTTCGGGTACCATAGGCACATCAACGTAGAGGGGACCTCGGATCTCCGGCAAGCTCATGACGACGCAGCCCCCGTTACCGGGGCTATCCGGCGTCGGGGGAAGTTTCTCATAGAGAACATTGCAGGGTTCTTGGGCGTAGAACAGCTCGGTCACGGCGGTGAGGCCGGCGGGAGAGTTGGCGCCGGAAGCCGCCGTCCCCGGAGGCAACGCCGCGGGACCGCCTCCGCCGTGGGCTCCGTAAAGCTCTTGAGCTCCAAAGAGGAAAGCGGAACTCTGGTGAGGGGTGTAAGGAGGGGTGCAGAGCAAATCTTTGGACGCAGATTTGCCGCCGGGCTTCTCGCTTGCGAACGTCTGTCCGTAACCTCCTTGCGGGAGGACGAGGTATCCGAAACCTGGTTCTTTGACCAGCAGGCTGAGGGAGGAACCTGGCGGGGCGTCCTCTATAGAGGAGATATTCCCAGGTTCCATCATCTCTTCGGGAAGGCCTTCCGGAGGTTCGCCGAACGCCGAGGGCCCTTCGGGGACCCCGGCGGTGCTGAAATCGAAGGTCGGGGCCACAAGAGTAGCGGTGGGAGTGCCGGCTACGGGCGTGAAGACTTGATCGGGGCTGGACAGTTGTCCAGGAGACAGGAGACTTTCCAAGAAGGTAGTGGTACTTTCAAGCCCGTACGGGCCTTGGGATCCTTCAGCGGAGATTTGTTGCTTCAGGCACCAGGCTTCGGAATCGCTGCGGAGAAAAGGAAGAAGAGAAAGTAAGAAGAAGGTTCCGGGGAGACGTCTGGTCGTCAAGAACAGGCAGAAATCAAATACACATAGTCCTCGATTTACAACCGCCATCGATATTGCTAAGGGACAATTTTGTGCACTGAGTTCTAGTCCTTGCTTTAGGCATGAAAGCCCGCTGGGTGACTTTGGGCCAATCACCAGGAGACTGGGAGTTCTAGTCCCGCCTTAGGCATGAAAGCTTGCTGGGTGACTTTGGGCCAATCACCAGGAGATGGTGAGTTCTAGTCCCGCCTTAGGCATGACAGCCCATTGGGTGACGTTGGGCCAATCACCAGGAGATGGTGAGTTCTAGTCCGGCCTGAGGCATAAAAGTCCAGGGGTGACTTTGGGCCAATCACCAGGAGACTGGGAGTTCTAGTCCCACTTTAGGCATTAAAAAAGCTGTCTGGATGACTTTGGGCCAATCACCAGGAGACGGTGAGTTCTAGTCCTCCCTTAGGCATGAAACCAAGCAGGGTGAATTCTGAGCCAGTCCCTCTCTCTCACTTCACAGCGTCACAAAGAACCAACCCATATCTCAAGCCCGCTCACCCCCCAGAAAGAGTTCAAAACGGCATACCTGATGACGTAGTTGTGAGAAACGATGGGGATCTCCGCGGTTTCCAAGCGAAGCAGTGAGTAGATCCAGATCCAGCTTACGCCATCTTTCGCTTGGAGCCGGATCACCATTTCAGTTTGCGTGTTGCTTTGGTCACCTACTGGCATAACAAATAGGAAAAAGGAAAATGAGAGACCCGGTCATCCCCAATCGGTTTCAACCCGTCTGCTACAGGTTGTCCCAAAGGGGTGGTTGAAAAAGACAAGGGTTAAGAAACTCACGCAGTCGGTAATGCTGGGCCGAAGCGTGACTGAGATCTTCAGGGTGGATCAAGCCGTACCACGATTTGCAGAAGAGTTCGCTTTTCTCAAAGCCCAGGTGGAAGATCACGCTAGAATACGAAGAGAAAATAGAGATCAGGGCTTTGCAGCAACCATGGTCCGGGATCTTACAGTCCCCACCCCCTGCCAACATTTTCGACTTTTGAGTTTGGAGCCTGTTTAAATCTTCTCAAACTTGGCTGCTGGAAGACGGGCGAACTTCAACTCCCAGAATTCCCCAGCCCCTTGCCCTCCCCTCCCAGTCACTCCTCGCCTGGCCTTGGAAATCCGAGAGATACAGAGAGAGGGGGGAGAGGGAGAGATACAGAGAGGGGGGAGAGAGAGAGAAACAGAGAAAAGGGTTTTGTGGTTCCCGGTGGTTTTTAACAACTGGTTCTCTGCCCTAATGACCGGATAGGCGTGGCTAAGGGAGTCATGTGACTGGGTGGGAGTGAGTGACGTGGATTTGCCCACGCCCACCCAAGTTTTCTGGCTCCTGGTATTTTTTTTCCCATGGAAAACGGGTCCCAAATGTCTCTTTGAGTGTTTAAGGTTGCAGACCCCTGCCCTGGACAGAAGAGAAGTTCTCAACCTTCTGTGGTCTTCCTCGAATTCTCATACTTCCCACTCTGAAAAAATCCCATCCGAGAAGAACCCCAATTCTTTTTTTCAACCGAAGAAGAAATTGTTGGGAAAAATAATATTTTTCAGAATTTTTATGCATGCCTCTTGCATCAACGCTGGTTATTCGATGCCCCTGGTGGACAGAAGATGCCCCTGGCTTAACAAACCCACCAAATTCTTTCTCAGTCTTTCCTTATGTTCTTCTCAGTCCAGGGACCTCTAAATATGACTATTTTACGATTGGTGGACTTCAACTCCCAGAATTCCTCAGCCATCATGGCTGGCTGTGGGGAATTCTGGGAGTTGAAGTTCACCAGTCTTAAAGTTGGCAAATGCTGGGTTGAGGAATTCTGGGAGTCCACCAGTCTTAAAATCGCCAAGTTTGGAGACCCCTGTTCTAGGTTAGTCCTGACCTTTCACCTTTTTTCCATAAGGCCTCTCACCTTTCAGAGATGTCTACGATGGCCAGGTCTTTTGTGTGGCGACTCTCAAAAGCGGACAGGAAGAATGAATTCTGACCCATTCTGGGCTTAGGATCTAGAGGAGTGCAGAAGGCCGTGAAGACAGGATTGGTGGACCAATAAGAACCCGGAGGAGGTTGGTGGAAGTGTCCGCGAATCAGAACCAGCTTATTTCCTGCGCTTTGACGCCGGATTGTCTTGGAAGTGTTGAAGTGACAACGGAAGAGGCGTTCTGTTTTGGTTCGAGAGACAGAAGAAAAAGAAGAGGGAGATTGAGAGACCAGAAAGTCCATAACACACTGAAGCATGCTCAGACAGGTCACTCTAGCATAAAACATGGATCTGTTCCGCTCTCCTAAACTTGGCAAATCATATTATTTTTTTTCTGAATGAACTGTATTTCTAAATGAATTTCTTAAACACCGTTCACAAGAACGGATTGAATTTCCTCTGAATGGAAACTCCATCCTAGAATCACATTTTTCAATCTTGGCCAATTCAAGATTTGTAGACCTGGGAATTGAAGTCCACACATCTTCAAACAACTACAGTTGACAAGCACTGCCCTTAATTGTTGTTCTCCAGAAATACCGTGGTTTTTCTCCATACTAATGGAATATCACATTTCATACTCTTTATCGGCTCCTGAACGTGAGTTTTTTTTAATAAAAGTTGAGCTTTCATAGCTTCTCTCTTAAATTAAGCTCTGCAAAGCATCGTTCTGGTCTAACACGTCACCTGTCAACTTTCAAATAGTCATCACGCTAATTTAGCTTTCCTTTTCCACATGTCTATTGCTTCCCCTTCTCTCCTGCACGACACTCATTTCTCAAGAAAGAAACACCTACCGGTATTTAATGGAGAAGGCAACGCCAACTGAGTCTTCATCACAAAATGATCTACCGGATCAATAATGTCGTAGATGCTGTCTCCTTGGGCCACTAAATCCACCTGCAGGCATAAGTGGGAGGAGAACAGTTGTGAAATTAAACTCGCTCCTCTTAGTCATGGAGTCATCAGAAATCTGAGCTTCACATATGGAATCTCCAAAGTCAACAGACTTTCACAAATACATTTACTCCCGTTGAGAAAAATAACCTCTTAAAGGGCTATAGCCATGTTACAGACAAGCTGCTTATGGAGACTATATAGGACTAATTTAATAATTAATCCCAGCCTTGGAGAAACTGAAAGGCTATAGCTTCAATGAAATGCTCTTGTAATACAACTCAACGCAAGGTTAGCCTGATGTTAAAACCCAGGATAATTCAAAGGAGGGCTATCATTTCCCTTATTTTACAGTCAAGGTATTACTCTTCCCCTCTTTATCAGTCTGCCCATGGTACGTACCATAGAATGTCCCAAGTGCTCAGTTACGGTTTCCGACACATAGATGAGTTTGCCTTCACCCGTGAACGCCAAAAGGAAACCGGGAAGGGTCTGCATGAAATCGTCTAAATCCAGGGAAGAAAGCAAGCCCTCAAGGCCCTCCAAAGTCTCACCTGTTGAGAAACAGGATGGGTTTAATTATGATGATGATGATGATCATTATTATTGTAAAAAGCCCTCCATTCGTATCTCATTTCAGCACCGTGGACAGCGGTTACTACAAGTAAAGTCTCAGGGAGCTGTTTCAGCACCACGGACAGCATCCCAGTGCAACCTCCATTGGCCGTTTCAGCACCATGGAGAGAGACCTGTTGAGTTTCCACAAGGACAGGCACTTCAGGAAGGCAGCCCCTCGCCCAACTTCAGAAGTAAACCCACCCACCCACCCCGCTCTCTTAAGATCCTCCACTTTCCCCCAAGCTCCCTCCGAGGGTCTTCCGAACCTACCTCTGGAGAAGAAGATGGATTTCCGCGTATAGATGCAAGCCAGTGACATGATGTGGAGATAAGAGAGCCGAAGTTTATCTCCTTCGGCAATGGGCAACAGGTCCTTGAGATGCCGGATCTCCGCGTTGATTTGATCCCGCCGTGCCTTGGAGGCTCCTTTCGTAGACCGGTACATCTTGGCTGGGAAGAAGATCCGTGCAGCTCAGCCGCCTCCGTCTCTCTTTCTTTCTCTCTTTCTCTCTCTCTCTCTCGGATGCCTGCCTGTGGATCTGTCGAAGATGCCTGCTTTCCATCTTTTATAGGCTGTTGGAAGTGTGGGCACTGGCATATTAAGGAAAACGGGGCGGGAAGAGTTGTTCAGATCAATGGAGGGAGAGGGTTGCCAGAGCCAGCTCTCCCCCCGCTTCTATGGGCTTGGGGGAACCCTACGTCACTGGCTTCTGAATGACGTGGTGAGCAAGGGTGGGGGGGGGAGGCCGGAGGAGGAAACCAAGGAAACACTGCACCGAATTAGGAGACGAAACAAGAGTCTTGAGTGTTGGAATCACAGCTCTGTGTGCCTGTTTTTCCTCTCTCTTCAGTCCCAGAAATTTAGTACTGGCACTAACATCTTCTTCCTTCTCTTTTCCTTTCTTGCAAAAAATAAATAAATAAATAAAAATCTTGTTCTTTTCAAATCCATCCTTCTTTCCTTTCCTTTCTTTCTTTCCTTCTTTTCTTTCCTTCCTTCCTTTTCTTCTCTTTTTCATGTCTCTTACTCTCAAAGCCACGTAGCCGATCTTTTCTGCTTCTTGTTATTCTTTCCTCTTTTTCTTTATTCTTACCTTCCATCGCAATCTATTCCTCGGTCTTTGTCGGGTCCGAAGTAAAAATGGGTCTGATTTTATTCCTGATTTTTTCACCCCTGCTCTTAAAACCCAAATACTGGAGGAAAAGGGGGGACATCCAAATTGCAGGGTTATTAGGCCTGAACCGTGTGAAAAATCAACTCAGAATGATGTATCTTAATATGTGTGTCTCCTGCCATTCTTATCTATCTATCTATCTATCTATCTATCTATCTATCTATCTATCCATCCATATATCTATCTGCCTATCTATCATCTATCTGCTTATCTATCATCTATCTATCTATCTATCTATCTATCTATCTATCTATCTATCTATCATCTATCTATCTGCCTATCTATCTATTATCTATCTATCTATTATCTATCTATCATCTATCCATCTATCTATCTGCCTATCTATTATCTATCTATCTATCTATCTATCTATCTATCTATCTATCTATCTATCTATCTATCTATCTATCTGCCTATCTGCCTATCTATCTATTATCTATCTATTATCTATCTATCATCTATCCATCTATCTGCCTATCTATTTATCTATCTATCTATCTATCTATCTATCTATCTATCTATCTATCTATTATTGTATATATATAGGGGGGATGTGTGATTATTTATTTCCCCCTGGTTGTAAGGACAACCTTTGTAGTTAAAAGTAGCTGTTCTTGATGCAGTCTCAAAACAAAAAAGAAATATTTATCAGTAAGATTATCAGCAGCATTCCAGGGGGGTAAATCTGTTCTTTTCCCCTTTCCTCCCCAAAATTATTCTATTTAAAAAAAGAACAACTTTTCAGAACAGATTCTGAATGTTTATCTTTTTTCTCTCCCATTTATTCATAAAATAAAGTGTTGTGGGTATATTTTTATTTAGGATTTCTGTCCAGGAATTTTCCCTTCTCGCCCCCCTCCCCCCAAAAAAAGCCATCGAAAGAGTGAATCTATTCTGGTTTTCTTTTAAACTTCCCAGTAAATAAACAAGCCAGGCCTTAAATAACGTTCTCTTCTGTGAAGGCCAAAAATAGACCCAGCAAAAAAAAAAAAAGAGAGAGAGAGAGAAAGGGAGGGAGAAAAGGTTCTTTTTGAGCTCTGCGGTTGCTAAGCAACCACGAAAAGTGACAGCATTCCATCTCCCATTTGGGATGATTCTTATTCTTCTTCGTTTTTTCTTTCTTTCTTTACTTCCTTTTTTTTTTTCCTCCTCCTTTCCCCTTTGCAGAGATAACCTAAATTAGTTCGCTTTGCTTTTGCATAAATCTCTGGTTCCATATAAGGCGTGAAAGCTGAGATGGAGTGGGAGGCGACTTTGCTCTTTGTGGTTTGGGAGAATCCTGCCTTTGTGGTTGGAAGTTGCCAGAAACTGGGATGGAGGGATGGAGAGAGGAAGTTAGAAGCTGTCCCCCAAAACTATGCAGGGTCCTGTCTTCAGGAATATTGGGTTTGCTTTTAGCATCTCTCCTTCCTTCCTTCCTTCCTCCATCCCTCCCTTCCCTCTTCCTTTCCTTCCTTCCCTCCTTCCTTCTTCCCTTCCCTCCCTTTCTTCATCCCTCCCTCATCCCTTTCCTTTCTTTCCTTCCTTCCTTCCTATCTTGCTTGCTTGCTTCCTCCCCTTCCCTCCCTCCCTTCTCCTTCCCTTCCCTCTCCCTCCCTTTTCTTCATCCCTCTCTCATCCCCTTTCCTTGCCTTCCTTCCTTCCTAGCTTGCTTGCTTGCTTCCCCTTCCTTTCTTTTTTCCTTCCTTCCATCCCTCCCTCCTCCTTCCCTCTCTCCCTTTTCTTCATCCCTCTCTCATCCCTTTCCTTGCCTTCCTTCCTTCCTAGTTTCCTTGCTTCCTCCCTCTTCCCTCCTTCCCTTTCTTCTTTCCTTCCTTCCATTCTTCCTTCCTTCCCTCCCTCCTCCTTCCTTCCCTCTCCCTCCCTTTTCTTCATCCCTCTCTCATCCCTTTCCTTTCCTTCCTTCCTAGCTTGCTTGCTTCCTCCCCTTCCCTCCCTCCCTTCTTTCCTTCCCTTCCCTCTCCCTCCCTTTTCTTCATCCCTCTCTCTCCTTCCTTCATCTCTCCCTTCCTTCCTTTTTCCCCTTCCTTCCATTTTTTCTTTCCTCCTTCCTTCCCTTCCCTCCCCTCTTCCCGCTTTCCTTCATCCCACCCTCATCCTTTTCCTTCCTTCCTTCCTATCTTGCTTGCTTCCTCCCCTTCCCTCCCTCCCTCCTTCCCTTCTTTCCTCCCTCCCTCCCTCCCTTTCTTTTCTCTTTCTTTCCTTCCTTCCTTTCCTTCCCTTCCCTTCCCTCTTCCCATCATCCAGTCCTGTAACAGCTCCAGTTAAGTTATGGGTGTTGATTTCCCAAGGAGAAGAACTTGACAGTTATACAATTATCACTTTTTCTGCAATGCAGACAGACTGTTTATGCAACGGACTGATCCAGGAACGGCAATTCCTAAAAAGTCCAATTTGACTCCAGTGTTGTCTTTCTGGGCAAAACCAGAAACGAGCCGAAAAACATGCCAGATGCAAGAAAGGGAAGAGATGCCAATGTGCGAATTCCAAGCTGCAGAAGATCCAGCTGGATAACCGACGTGTGGATTTCACCCCCCTAGGAAACGCTGCAAGATTCTATGTTCTAACGTTCGCATTCTATGCTCTCTAATTAACCAGTGGAACAACCTGCCACCAGAAGTTATGGGAGCTCCATCAATGGAGTTTTTTTTAAAGAAGAGACTGCACAGCCATCGGTCTGAAATGGTCTAGGGCAGGGGTCTGCAACCTTAAACACTCAAAGAGCCATTTGGACCCGTTTCCCACAGAAAAGAAAACACCGGGAGCCACAAAACCTCGGTGGGTGTGACCGACTCAACGTCACTCACTTCCACCAGTCACATGACCCCCTCTAGCCACGCCTACCCAGCCGGTCATTAGGGCAGAGAACCAGTTGTTAAAAAACACTGGGAACCACAAAATCCTTTTGACATCTCTCTCTCTCCCCTCCCTCCCTCTCTATGTCTCTCTCTCTTCCCCTCTCTCTGTATCTCTCTGTCTCTGCCCTGGTCGCTTCTCCATCCTCACGCCATCGCCCTTAACCTTCTCAGCCCAGGTGAGGAGTGACTGGGAGGGGAAGGCGAGGGGAGGGGTCAGCCAGTGGTGGGATCACCTGTCAGGGAGAGCCACAGCAGAGGGCCCAAAGAGCCGCATGCGGCTCCAGAGCTGCAGGTTGCTGACACCCAGTATAGGGTCTCCTGCTTGATCAGGGGGTTGGACTAGAAGACCTCCAAGGTCCCTTCCAACTCTATTATTATGTATGAACCTTTGGCAAAAACTATATTGTCAAATATTCTGTCAAGCCATGCATAGCCTTGCCAACTTGGCCGGATCTCTAGCAAGGTCAGAGTTGATTAGGATTCGGTGTGGGGACCATAAGGAAGCTCAAGGAAGTTGCAAAGGTGGGGAGAGCACATCGCTACTTCAACCTCGCCAAGAAAAATCGCACGGACGGAGCCATGAAGTTATCAGGAGCGGCATTTGATTTGTAGAATCCCATGAAAAATCTTCTTAAGCACCAGCAGGTGGCAGTATTCGGCTGACATTGCCTGGGCTACCCGTTTCAACAGGCGATCATCGCCTGCTTAGGACATGGATGGAAGGCCACCAGGAGATCTCAGAGCTACAGGCTAGCTAGACTGAGAAGTTTGTTTTTTTTTTTTTTAAAGAAACATGGTGGGAATAATTAGTGGCAAACCACATCTGCGCAACTGCCAATAAAACTATCTGGACTTATTCGCGTTGCAGTCTCCCGGGGGTCACATGATCCCTGGGGTGGGCTTCAAAATTTTTAGCAAGGAGTACTCTGCCCAGTTGCTGGGTGGGTGTGGCCATGGTGGGCATGGCCTAGTCAGCCTCCTGCACCATGGGGGGGGGGGTATTTTGCCCTCCCCAGGCTCCAGAGGCTTTCCTCGAGCCTCCGGGAGGGCGAAAACGACCTCCCCAGGCTCCAGAGGCTCTCTTGAACTTCCGGTAGGCCCGTTTTTCGCCCTCCCCGAGCCTCCGCACATGCCCTGCACTTACCTGCATCCAAAACAGGCCAGGTGGGGACTCCTGGGAAGGGCGGGGTGGTGGTGTGGGCGGGGCCACCAAGGAGTGGGATTTGGGGGTTCTCCTCACTGCACAGAATCTTAGCTAGTGGTTCTCCCGAACCCCTTCGAACCCCCAACAGCCCACCCCTGCGTGATCCCCTTTGGCGACCCAACCGACAAGCCAAAGTCAAGGGGCAAACCAGATTCACTTAACAGCCGTGTCACAACTGCAGTGATTTCGCTGAACGACAGTGGCAGGCAAGGCAGTACAATGGGGTGAAAACTTCGCAACTGTTCTGACTTAGCCACAGAAATTAGGGGCTCAATGGGGGTCGTAAGCAGAGATGGTATTCAGCTGGTTCGGACGTAATGCTGTCCTATTTAGCCACAATTTCAAGGCCGGGCACATGCGCGGATGGCGCCCGCGGTGAACCGGTGGCAAGAATATGTGAAACCTACTGCTGGCTGTAAGTCGAGAACTACCTACTATTGGATTGGGGACAAAGCAAAGGAATGCAACGACGGTAATCGCCTTTGGTGAACCTGGGTTTAAGAATGTGTGAAGAATGTGTGAAGGTGGTGTGAAGGTAGCCCAGTGTTGTGACCCAGGTCCAAGTAGGTTGTAATCGACGCAAACGGTTCCAAAACAAACAGACTTTATTAGGGCAGCTGAGAATTAACTCATTGGCAGTGTCGTCCAAACTAAATCAAAACAAACTCTTCATAACACAAATTCTTCAGTCTAATCACC